GTTAATCTCACGTTAAAAAAATTATCGCCATATTGCCTCGCGTTAACGCGATAATAACGCGATAATTTTGACAGCACTAGCTTGAAGGGAAAAGAATCTTATCTGCTAAATTATATTTGAAAAGAAGGCAATTTGAAAAACTGAAATTCAAAAATGTCAATCTGTAAAAAGGAAATTAAAACGGCAAACCTGTATAACAAAAAAAAGAAATAAAATGTAATCTGAGAAAAGCAAAGATGTAAAATCTTTTCCTGAATTAAAATGTTTTTAAAAGTTTTTTGTTGGATTTTGTTTTGAATTTCCATTTATCGAATGTCTTTGCAACAATAATGGAACAAATTTGACTCCATATGAGAGCAGCCGTCCAGCAGGGTGCGTTACTGATTCACGCCGCCTAAGTCTCATCATGGCAACACTGGCAGAATGAGCTGACCTGAACGCATGGCTCCCATGGAGCCCTGCAGAATCCCATCAGTCTGCGCTTCAGCATTGAAGCAGGAGGAGCCGGACCTGATGATAAATAAGCTTCTTTTGTTCGGTGGAGCTCGTTCTTCACTCTCTACCGTCTCTTTGCAGGTTTACAAGAGGGCAAAAGCACTGGACCAGTCAGACAACGACATCTCTGCAGTCTACAGAGCCTACATTCACTAGAGGGAGAGGCCACCCATCCTCTGGACCACGCAGTCTTTAATCATTTCTCTCTTCTGTCATCTAATGAGTTCCTGTTTTAAATTCCAGTGGTTTTTATTTCATATGCCCCAGTGCCAGCCATGTTGTTCCCCCATACTGGCCAGTCTGGGATTTTCTTTGCTTTGTTTTCTACCTGGAGCATTGCACAGACTGCACTGGGAAGGAAGGAAGGAAACTCCTCCGATGGGTTCTGCATCCGTGCTGCGGCGGCAGCGGTCCTGGGTTTGTGTGGCGCAGCAGTCCGCCGTGTGGCAGGAGCTCCGCGCCACACGTTGAGCTAAACCCTTTTATTTTAATTTGCCCATGTGTGCATTTTAAGTGTAATCCTTTCTTTCATCGTTTTTACTGTCAAGAAAAGCGAAACAGAAACCACCAAGAACCACTGCATTGCCTTAAAACCGAACCCCTTCAAGTATTTCTATTTATTTATCTTCCCTGCTGGTCTTCTCGGCGCCGCGTGCTCGTGACCGGAGCGGGTGGGGTCTGTGAGGGCGGAGCCACAGCTGTGTAGGGGCCTTAAACTGCGCTAAAAGCTATCACCACCAGAACCTGGGTTTGGGTTTCTGATGGGTTCGGGGAGGGTTTTCCTAGATCCGGGTTTGTTTTGTGTTTTAGAGATGAGTTAATGAAGAAATCCCCGCGGCGGAAATGAGTTTAGCAATGAGCTGAAGAAAAAGACGTCTGTGAACTGAAACCTTTAACTGGTGGGACGACCTTTATCTGGCGGTGAATGGATTGCGGACGCGTCGGGCTGCAGGTGTTTGCTTTCACGCAGTGAAGCTAAACCCGCTTCCTGACCACGTCCCTGCAGACGCGGGAATCAGACGGCGCTTTTCTCCTCACACTCTGAGGAAATCTGAGTTCTGCTTTTAGACGCAGCGTTCTCCACATTCAGCAGGAACTTTTACTACAGCGGCCAGAAATAAAAGGACGGGAAATGAATTTACCTTCAGTAGAAGGACGACGACTCTGATCTACGTAGAAAGAATTAATTATTTTGGAGCTTTAGTTTTCATTGGGTTTTACTACCGGCAGAAATTTTATTTTTAAAAAATCTTTACGTTTGGAAAAAAACAATTTTTCAATCACCAATGATTAATAAATAAGCAGCAATTTCCTTTAAAACCTGAGTTTTTATCAATGAGTTTCATCACATGAAGGGCTAAAGATTTATTTTTTAAACCAAACAATTTTTTGACAAATTGAACAAATGAATTTCCAGAGAAATTTTGCGTAATTCCCGTTTTGCAGAGTTCTGCTGCTCCTCCGTTGAGGAGAACCGAAGGAGTTTATCCAGAGTTTCTGTTTGACATTAAAGTTCGATTATCATCTTTATTCATTCTAATGAAAGAAATGCATTTTTATTTTTTAAGTTTCTAGTCTCTCCAAACATTTCACGCCTCTGTTTGCTGGGTGGTTGTTGTCTTTATAGCAGAACATTTAGGTGACGCCTCCCTGCAGGTGCTGCATGCTGGCTGAGAGCTGCTGCTCATGTGGAGTTTGCTGCAGCTCCATCAGTCAATGATGCTGAGGTCGGAGTCACGATGCGGTTCGTTGCTGACCTTTCCGTCTGTCGGTCTGTACCAGATGAGACCACCACACCCCAGTGTTTTTCTTCTTTTTCACTAGTTGGAAGGAATCGATTTCTTTTCAAATTAAACACCCTTTTTTTTCTCTTTCTTTTTATGAGACAGTGTTTTATTTTGAAAAGCTTCCTGTTTGCCACGGTAAAGTTTTTAGGTTTATTTTCCAGACACTTGAGGTGTTTTTAGAAGAACGTTGTAAATAGCACATGAAGTAGGGTTCCTTTTGTATCGCCAAGAAGCAAAATTAACGACGACTCGGTTTAGTTTGGACTCTGCAGAGCGACCGACGTCTCTCTGGTGACGCTGTAGATGGATTTCGTTCGACTGTAAATGGTTTATAAATACGCGGCTCCCACAGTCCTACTCATTGCATCGAACCCATGAGGATTCGGATCCCGTCAGTAGAGAGGAAGCAACTTTGGTTTTGGGGTTTATTTGTGATTTTGTGTACATGTAGAAATACCCAGAATTTTGTGCTGTTTAATAAATCCTCTCCTGATTACTGACATGATTTCCTGCCATCTCTGTTTGCATGCTTCATCCCTGTGGAGCTTAAAAAGATGTACTGCACAGATGGGGAACGGCAGAAGGGCCGACGTCCTCTGATGGTCCAACATCTGTGCTTTAGATCTGCTGCCATGTCAGGATTCATGATCCAGTGGAAGCGAAGGTGGTGGAGGTAACGACGGTCTCAGTGGGTCTGCACCACCTGCAGAGGAACCCGTCTGCCAGGGAGGAAAGGTTTAGTCTATTCTACACATTACAAAGAAAAAAAAAATAAATGTTTCGACTCATTTCAAAACAAGGTAGAGGACGCGGCCTACCTAGACTGGATCCTCCAAGGAGGCGGCCTACCT